GGCCAGGAGCCCAGCAGTGCCGCAGCCGAGCAGCGCACGTCAGGAGGAGAGCCTGCCCTTCATGCTGGACCTGCAGAGCTTGCCGGGACTGGCCAACATGGACCTGAGTGCCCAGAACCCCAACATCCAGGTGCGAAGGAGGTTTAAGGGAGCCCTACGGGGATGCGGGTGAGCGATGCATGTGCTTCTGGGCCTCCTTGTATTTACCAAATGGAAATGTCTTGTGAGTGGGGTCCATGTGGCTGCCATCTGTCTTCTTGGTAACTACCAGATGCAAATAGCTGGCACAGGCAAGCTCCTTGCCAGAGAAATTTACTCATGGCCTTTTCCCAGCCCCCTCCCCTAGGCCCCTCTCTGTGGAGCAGGAGCAAACACTCCTACAAGAGTGACCTCTCAGGTTCTGAGGGTGGTGTTGGTCCCTATGGATGATCACCAGCCCCTCTGCGCTTTCTGCTCTGCCCCTGCTCAGTCCCTTTGGATAAGGCAAGACCGCCTGTACTCATTGTGTGGTCTTGTAGCCCTAAGCATCTCTAGCCTCTCAGGCTGGGTACCAGTGCGTGGGCTGCTAGGTCTGTCCCAGGGCTGTGCCCCAGCTCACTGCGCTGCCTCATATCTGGCCACCAGGTGACGATCGAAGTGGTGGATGATCCTCAGGCTGAGATGGAAATGGACTTGTTGAAGGAGACAAGCAATGACTGGTCCCTGACATCCTCTGAGTGGTTGTCCCACAAGGACCTCTTCTGGCCCCTCTTCTGGGAATACACTGACCCCACTGAGAAGGAGGAGGAGGAAGAAGAAGAGGAGGAAGAGGATGACAACCTGGATGTAGCAGACAGGGAGGAGGAAGAGGAGGAGGAAGATTACACAGCAGAGTATGAAGAGGAGGAGTCCATGCTCAGTGGAGTGGGAGGTGACTGGGACCAGCGGTGGCCTGGGCACAAGAACTGGATCTTCAAGGAGAAATATAATTATGGTGAGTCCACTTGAATGTGTGTAGCTGCCCTGCAGGCTGGCACTGTCCTCCCCTGCCCTGCCTGACCCCCAGCCCTGTCTCACTGCAGGGGGAACAGCCCTGCACTGAGGATCACAGCACACTGGTGCTCACCTCCTGCTTGAAAAATAAGCAAGTGTGCTGAGGAGCAAGGCCAGTACTCATCTGGGGCTGCCAGCAGTCAGACATGCCAGTGTCCCAGCGGGAATTGCCCTTGCATGTATCCACACTGGAGCGTGGCCTCCAGTGAAGGTGTGCTCAGATGAGAAACACGGTGTAAATGTTTAACAGCAGGTGCTGCTGCCATCAGCTCAGGTCCCTTTGGTGACAGCAAGTGCCAGAAGCCTTTGCCACAGACCTGGGTATCCCCCAAGAAAGAAGCTGTGTAGGGCTTAGACAGGAGGTGCCAGTGGGCAGACAGGCCAGGGCATCACAGTAGCTCCCCCGTGCTCCAGCCACCACCCCAAAACCAGTCGACCTTTGCTAACATGTGATGCTTCAGCATCATGGCCACTGCATCGGGCACACTCAGTGAGGATGGGCAATGACCGTCTGGGTTGGTACAACCATGAGCAAAGCTGTGAGAACAAGAGCCTTTGCTCAGGGGTTGCTGCCCTGGGGCTGCGAGCAAGACCAGGGTTGGCCCTCGGCATCACACGGCCGGGCACCTCTGTGTGCTCTGGGCAGCATTGGGCCTGCATCCCTGTAAATGGCATCCTAGGGACAGGGCAGAGCTGAGGGAGGTCCTAGGTGCCTGCTGGTTCTCCTGCTGCTGAGGCCCACCACTCTCTGCCTCTCCCCTGCCATGCACAGACGATGAAGATGAAGAGGAGTGGAGCCCATGGTCTCCTTGCAGCATCACCTGTGGCAGTGGCAACCAGAAGAGGACCCGGTCATGTGGCTATGCCTGCACAGCAACAGAGTCGAGGACCTGCGACCTACCACGCTGCCCTGGTGAGCCCTCAGCCCTTCCAACTCTTGGGCGCTGCCTGACCCCTGTGTGTGCTGGTGCTCTGCCACTGTGGGCTGGGCATTTCTCACACTTCAAGAACTAGTTACATTGAATGGTATCTGGGCTAGTGACTGCAGGGGTTTGTTTCCATGAAGAAGCTCTGCTGAGGCTTCATGGCTCCCCAGGCAGTTACATGGTGCCTGAGGGTGGCAGAGCTGTCATCCAGCTCAGTGTGTGACTCCGTGCACCTCTTTCACACTGGGAGCTCAAAATCCTCTCCTGAGGCATATTGAGAATGGGCTCCATCCACTGGGATTTGCATAGCCCACAGCCTTGGGCCAGTCTGTCCTGTGTGTTTTGCTGCTGGCCCTTCCATCCAAGCATGGCCATGTCACCAAAGCATTGGTGGGGGTGGGGGGGTGGAAGATGGATGGTGTCTGGTGCCCTTATGAAGGAAAAAAACTCACCACTACTTCTGGTATTCAACCTGTCTCTTTGGTTTTTTTCCCCCCTCTAAAGGAGCAAAAGGGGAAATGGTCTTCCCCACAGAGGAGACGCTGTTCAAAAGTGACAACGCAACAGAGCTGTTCAACTCAGGTCAGCCTTTGCCTCTGCCTTTCACTGGGGGCTTCGGTGCCAGCCACATGAGGGGTGTAGCTGGCTGGTGGGGAGGGCTTCCCAAAGGGTTCCTGCATCTGGGGTCCAGACCTAAGTCACCCAAACCACTGCCACATGCAGGCTTCAGCAGTGATATGGGGAAACCCACAGCCCTGGTATAACGCGGTCCTGCTTTACGGTGCCGTGGCTGAGGCCAGCCTGACACGTGCCCTCTCCCATGGGGGGGTGCTCCCATCCCAGCCCCTGTAGCAATGGGTGCCTCCGGCAGAGGCCCTGCAAGGGGCAGCTCTGCCCCAGTGTGAAACCCTTTGCCCCTGTCACTGCCTTGGGATGGAGCCCAGCCACAGCCTGTCCTGGCAGCCTGGCTGCTCCTGCCTTGTGCCTGCAGGCTCC